TTCGAGGCAATGATCCACATTCTTGGCTGAAATTAGCCATTTTGGTCTTGTAAATTTTTCCAAATAACGTTCTTGCAATTTTTCAAAAAAAAAAGCGCGGAAACGGCACTTCTGATCGTATTGGCGTTTGAGACAATGTTATAGAGAAAAATAATACGTTTCTGGGAAAATTAACAAAGAGTTTGGTACTGCGTTCAACATGTGTCTATGTTTTAACTACCGTGAAAATTCACTCAAAACTATGTACTGGATTTGATTGGATTGTTCTCAAGCATTTCCTGTAATATACATAGCTTCATAGAGTTCATTTCAGTATTCTTCTACAATAAATAAGAGATTCTCTCAGAATTTCCAGTCTAAAATTCACTGTAGAACATTAAAAAAAAAAACTAAATTAAAATCTTAAAAGCCGGCGCCGATGGTGTAGTGGTAACTGCTTTCTCATCCTAATGGGTCTGGGTTCAATCCCAGCCGAGGTCGGTGGGATTTTTCTGAGGCATACAAATCTCTGGTCACGTCTTCCTTCGGAAGGGAAGTAAAGCCGTTGGTCCCGGCCCATGTATGTTGTGAATGGGTGCGATATCCTACGCAGGTGTGGAAGCTGCCTTCCTGCACATTCGGTTGCCGTCAATGGATGGCAATCGATGTTCGTCGGTAATTGGCACTAGATTGCGGAACAGAGACCGACGTTAAATAAATGAATGCATGAAGATCAGTTTTAAAGCTTTTTCAAAGAATTCACTTAAGCTTCCATCAATCGCTTGAATTCTCCTTACACTTGAGTTCTCAACACAATGAAGAAAATGAAATTCCCTGAATTCCAGAAATTAAAAAAAAGTTCCAGGTTCAGTGTTTGGCAACACGATATCACCAGCTCCACTTTCCACAGATAAGCACTAGTCTATTTTGGATTTTTTTCATGAAATACCACATGAAATACCACATAAAATACACCCCTCCAGTCCAGTACATTCTCAAATGGAATAGAGCTATCGATAAATTTTATGAAATACAAAAAAGGCAGAAATGGCGTGTTACCAAAAACGGGAAGATACCGTATTTTCCAAAATCCACAAATTTTAAACGTGGTAAGCGTCAGATAATAAGTTGAATCAGTAACCGTGATGTTACTATGATTGTAAGCGTCGTGTCAAGGAAACTGCAATCATCTTATCTTCATGGTGACCAGCAAATCTCGATTAGCAATTTCCAGGTTTTTCTCTTGGAAATTTGGAAATGTTAAGATCGCTATATACATTTGAAATAAGCATAACGCTGAATGCGATCGAGCCGAAGGTTAAATGGTTCATTTCTGGATCTTGAATTATTTTTCCTTAATCTTGAATTATTTTTTTTTTGTTTGATTTGTTTCCGTACTAAGTACCAAACGCCAGGGAGGTAGCTCCCACACTTGGACCCTACCTATCGACCCATCAACTCATGGACCTTGGACCATTGGCTTTACTCCCCGTGATCAAAGATTTTATGCATCATAAAATCCCGGCGGCGCCGACTGCGATTCAACCCTGGCCCTTTGGGGTGAGAGGCAAATCACGCTGACACGTTCGAAGTCTTCGCTTACAACTTTACAGGCTTTTAGTTGATTGAGAGTTCTTTTAGAATTATTCTAAAATAAGTTTGAAATCCTCTCTGGAAGTCCATTGAAAGTGTCTTTATAACAGTCCATAAATTATCTGTAGAACAGAAAAAAAAATATAAAATTCATCCTTAGATTCTCTTAGAATTTTAAACTCTATCTAAGAATTCGCTGGAGCTTTATTTTTTTTTTGTTTTGCTTGAAATTCTCCGTAGAGTTCCCATGCAATTCATCTCAGATTCTCGACCAACAATTGAAAAGGGCTTATTAACTTTTATGAGCACAACTTGTAATCCTTCTTCCCTGCCAACATCATCGGGCAAAGGAAATCTCCCACCGAGAATTGTCTTTAAATTTTGCTCAGAACTATCTTGGAGTTCTCCTATAATTTTTTCTAGAAATTGAATGGAATTCTCAATAAAACACTCTAGAAATTCCATTTGAAATGCGCATGGGATTATACTCGGAATTTCCTTATTATTATTTTGGAATTGCACATTCAAAATTCGCATCCCTTGGTACTTTTCACAAATCCCAGAATCCTCTTCACTTTTGGGAGTTCTAGTAAAAACTCTCTTAGATATTTTACTAAAGCTCCCTAGAAAATCTTATTGGAAATGTATTGGTGTTATCTCAAGAATTCATTTTAAAATCTGCACAAATTTGCTTTGGAAAAAAAAAACATCTAAAATTAACTTAATAGTTCTTCATAGTAACTGTATCCTGAAAATCTAGTCCTGTCCAAGGGTCTTGAAATCTTATTGTTTTCGAAGAGAAAACGAGGTATATTTTTTTCAGATTCTCAACTTTTTCCGGTTTTCCCGGTTCACTGGTCACCCTGTATTTAACATATGAAGCACTCATATTTAATCCCATTATAATTTTAAACCTTGAGCACATTTTGAGGCCCAGCTCCGCAAGAAAATTATTCCGGATAATACGCTTAACCAAAAGCTAATTCGCGGACGAATTCCTCCGATCGGAAATCGTAAAAACTGCGCTTTCACTTCTACAATTCTGTAAGTTAATTCCATCTAAATTGCAATAACAGCAACATTACAATACTAAAACTTAAATGAGAAGCTAATTTAACGAGCTAACCAGGTTTCCAATAAAGACCTAGAATACTCAATAAAGCCACTCAATGCTGTCAAGGCAATGTTTGTCTACGTATAATTTAGGCATTATTCAATCATAAAAGTACTACTCCGAGTAACAAAAAAAAAATCCTTCCAAGCAAAATCATTATCCTAAATTCTCATTTAGTTAGTTCTCTCAGCTTATGAAGCTGTTAAGAACACAATAAGGAACAATAATTAGAAGTATTCAGAAAAAAATCAGCATCCTTTCTTAAAGCTGGGTTTAGACAAGGCAAGTCAATTGATCAACTCAGTTGAAACCATGTCATTCAACTGGCTTGATCTACTCACTCGAAGTGAAAAAAAGTTGAACCACCAACTCTTCAAGCCAATTGAATTCAACTGATTTGATCAATGACTTGCCTTGTCTAAACCCAGCTTAACTCTTCACCATTCTTGCATTTACTCAAAGGCGCTCCAATGCGCACAAGGGATTGATTTTCGTTGGACACAGCTGGAGCGAGCAGACGTACCAATCTACTCGAAGGTTAAATTTTGTCAGACGCAATTAGATGTAACATCTATTAAGAGACGCACATGCCCATTAGCAGCTTACAATTTGCAACAACTAACAGCGTCTAGCGCCTATGGAAATGGATTTTTATCTCAGTTCAACTCAGGCATGCGAAAACACCCAGTGGGAGCTGAATTTATAATAGACTCAAAATCTTAGAAATACCGTTTTAGTTTAGTAACTTTTGCTTAACATGCAGAAATGCAACATCACGCATTGACAACCACAAGTTCGCAACTCTATTTAAAATTTGAAATGAAAAACCATCCTCAAGCTACACCGAGTAAATAAGATGTTTGAAACTTGCTAAGTCAGTCATACTTATTAATAAGTTTCTGTTATAAAGAAATATTTCCTTGAATTTGAGATAAACTTCCTGATTCTTCCTGAGATTCCCTGATTTTTCAGGTTCAAAAATGAATTCCCTGATATTCCCTGATTTTCCAGTTTTTTTCAGGCAGTGGACAGTTTGTTAACCTAGCAGTATCATTGAACTTTCAGGTGCAAATTTTACTCAATAACAAATATTCTAGAATTATGAATATTTTTAGATCTCCTTGTTTTATAATTTCTTGGTTTGTGGCGTTTGTTGGAAGCTTTTATCGCGTTTAAGGGGGTTGAAAATCCTTTTGTTTTTAGCGTTGTTGAAAAGATTAGCGTTTGAAAGTTTTGTCTCGCGTTTTACAGCTTATTTGGTGTAAAATCATTTAATTAGGCTATTAGTAAGAAAAAGTACCATCACATTCAACAAGAACCCACCAATCAACAAGCCCCATATTCCCACCCACAACCGGGTTCCTATTTTGCCAACTAAATCTTCATTATGATCCACAACCCGCTGAAAACCATCAACAAGCTCGGAACAGAGCGCTATTACAAATACAATTTAGCAAAACTCAACATATCGCGCCGCCAACAATGCTAGAGAAATATAGCCCCCCGGGACCATGGTGGTGTGGGGCGGCCGCCGGGAGAAGGGGTGTGGTGGAAAAAAGCGATAAATAAATATTATTTTTCCTCCCCAATAAAACAAACCATGTGCACGTGTTTGTGCGAACACACATTATGTTTGGCCATAAATCAAGTCGACAGCTTCAGCTTTCAGCTGGCTTCCCGTGTGCGAGCGCTTACTAAATACACTATTCTCTCCCCCCCCCCCCCCCGTCGTCGGGGTGTTGAAACTATTCCTAGCATGCACTTTTCTCTCTCTTTAAATGGATATTTTATTAGATGAAATTATGAAGCAAATGGGAGGCAATCGAGCGGAAGTAGGGCGGGCACTTCAATTAATACCTAGTAATCTCTTCCGATTCCATCAAACGCATTATGTTGGGAGTTAGTTTAGAGTGCTAGTTGAGAAAGGGATTGATTCAGGAAATTAACTACCGTCGATTAGAAGAGAACACTGCCGGGTAGCTTAGTAGTTTCGATCCGGTTTTGTGAAGGTAGGGCGGGGATGATTTATTAATTTGGTCCAAGGTTTGAGTAGTTTTCCCCCGGGCTTGGTTGGCTGCGATGAACCGTTCGTAAAAACTCGATTCAATTTGGACTCATTTGAATCGCAAATGCGATGGGGTGTTTAGGTGATGTCGGATCAATTTCGAGGAAATGTTTATCCGCTTAAATTACTTCCATGGTAGGGATTTGTGTAATTTGCTTGTTTGTTAGTTAAGAAGGATTAGATTGATGTCAAATTGCTTGCCATAAATTCTCCTAGCACCGAGGTGCATCAATTTAGCCCATTACTCACCTTGATCGCCCCGATCGCAGCCTGTTTGGTTGCGAACGTGACGAATGCACAGCCTTTGCTCTGTCCGGACGGATCCCGTAGCACCGTACACTCCTCGATTGCTCCATGGCCGGAGAACAGATGCCTCACATCATTCTCATTGTACTTTTTACTCAGCATACCAACAAACAGCTTCCGTTCTGAAATGGAAATTGAGAAAACAGAACCCAATATTAGAGCTTGACACAAAAGAACTAATCCTTCGTCGAACAGTGCCAACCAGAAAATTTCTAATTGGCACAAAGCTCATTGTTCTTTTCAGAGCTTTTTCGGTGCAGCAGAAGCAAAATTTTGTTGTGTCCAATCCGATTTTCTGCCCACACAAAAGTTCAAATCCAAAAACGCTCCTCGATTTGTTCCATTTAGTTCATTTTCTGTTCCAGTGCCAGGGAAAGTTCAAGTATCGAATTGCACCCCCTCTCGTTCTCTACTCCCATTACCTGCAGTGGAAACCTTTTGCAGCATATTAAAACTGTGAGTCTTCCCTATGTCGCCGTTCTACACCCATTCAGAATTGTTGTTCAGTTCTAAACAACAGACGACAGAACCCTTAGCAGCAGCAAGATGAAACTGCCGAGAGTTCAGTTCGAGTGAGCATATTCCAGTTTTCATTAACAACATACACTGCTGTGTTCGAAGGAAAGTGGCACTGTACCTGATAGGAAGCCCCAGGATTACCATTGTAGAAACCCATTCTCCCCCCGGCAGCCCACCATTGAACCCTCGTCGTAATCATAACCTAGGTTACTTTCTTATTAAGAATCGAAACCAACGTGGAAGGGAGCTTGCTGTTTCTGAAATCAGGAAACCCTAACCCGGCACACTGCTCTCTCCGCGTTCATTCTATAGATTCGTGCAGCTCAAGGACCGACTTTACAGTGAAAAGCTTCTAAAGCTCTTGAGAGATCACAATTTTCCCCCTCCCCCGCTTGCCACCACTGACTTTGGTGATTTTCCCCTGGTAATAAATTCGAGCGCAATCCGGTTTCCTACTATAGTCAGAGCCAGGAATTTCAACCGGAGAAAAAAGAGGACACCAGAAATGGGGGAGGTCGAGTGATAACGAAGCGAAGCTATCCTGGTAATCCGACGATACATGCATGCACTGACTGCTGCCAACCAGGAATCCTTGTAAACACTTGTACCTTTCCCTGGCCCGGTCGGTTGGTGGTGCTTTTAGACTGTATGAGTCAAAGGAATATCGTACTGCCTTCTGCTGCTACCAGTGTGTAGCTGAAGGGCTAAAAAGGAAATAAGAGGAGCAGAGGTGGTGTGTAACAGGGAGATTAGTGCCAGGAGGATGCTGTAATTCTGCAACTGAGAAAGAAGTGCTATTGCAATTGTGAGGACACTGATGAAAATAAGGTTCGTTAATGGCAGTCATTTTCCGTTGAAAATTTGATACTCTCCTTTTTACAGCACAGAGTCAACCAAAATTATACCAAAAAAATAAAAATAAAAACTTCAGACTGGATTCGAACCTTGGGGCCATAAAACTCCTAGTCAACATTAGACTATCAGTACTTGTTTTAAGACGGAATGCGAAAGGCGTATAGTGCGTTTTATGAACACGGTTTGACAGGTATGTGAGCAGTTCCACGCCAAATTACGAATCGGCAAAACTCGACCTTCTCCGATTTGCATGAAACTTTGCATAATTGTTTGTTATGGGAAATGATTCACATTTTTGCTAAAATTCGACCATTTTGGATCGTGTAAAATTTTCAATATGTCGTATTTGAAATTTAAAAAAAATAGTTGCATGAAATCTAAAGTTCTGATCGAAATGACGTCTGAGACACAGTTATAGAGAAAAACAAAAATATATCGATCAATAATTTGATAACTTATGGGATTGTACGCAATGGTAACGTAGGACTGCGTGGTCTTATATAATAAATCTTATTTGTGAACTGCAGCAAGAGCTTGTGTTTTGTGTAGGATTAGGAATCTGAGCGGTGTTCTCTCTGTTTATACTCTTTAGTATGACGCGCTTGACGTAGACGGCCCACAGCGACTCACGAAAAGCTACTGATTCCGATCAATAGCGCTGTGGCCTCTTTCTCCTTCAATGGATGCTCATGTGGGCTGCAGCTCGCTGCTTGCGGGGAGCCTTTCGTTGCGTACTGGAGAACACCACCACTCACCACGCGGTGCTTGAATAAACACCGTTTGGTGAGAGCGGATGGAATTCAACTTTGAAATCTGTGCTAGGGAAATCGCTTTTCGCAGGCAATCCGTGATAATGTTAATTATCATAGCAACAGTTGCACATTCTTGCAATTTTGAATAGTGACATCTAATAAAGTCTTAAATTTAAAAGATGCGTAGAAATATTTCTGACCGATTGTTGATATAATTATTGAAATTAGTCCAGGGGCAGCTGAGTTATTAACATTAAAAATCTCTCATAATTTTGTTACATGTTCCATTTTCGGTTTTCACAAAGTGTATCCCCATATAGAAGTCACAGACGTAGTCCTACGTCAAAACGGCCTTAAAAGTTCACGGTAGACACTAAACCTCTAAAACTTAAGACAATAGTACTAGGACTTTTTTCTTGCTAAAATCCCATCCTGGACCACTGTGCATAGTGGCCCAATATTTTTTTTCTTTTAGAATGTGATAGGGTAAATGATGGCTTCGGCACCCATTGACTGTTTTCGGCAACCAAAATTTAAAACTTAATTTCACGTTATGTTCCCACCAAAACAATTCACTGAATGTATTCAAACGATTCCACAGTCTATCAGGTTCTATCTGAATAAATTTATACGACTGAGCAAACCTGATATGCCACATATGTCTTTGAATGCAATATACACAGTCTGAAATTATTGTCAGAATATCGATTGTATTATTTAAAGGATTCCCGTTACTTTTTACTCAGAATTCCTTTGGAATTCTACTTCGCATGTTTCCATTGAATTCTCTAGGATACTTTAAGATTTCCCATGAAATTCTCCCTGACATCACTTTGAAAGTATCCTCAGAATTCTCATGACATTTTTCATAGAATTTGTTAAAAAATTTCCTCTAAACCCTCGTTAAAATTTCTTCTGCATTCTCTACGGGTCGTCGTCTTGGAATCCTACTTAGAATTTACTGGAAGCTTTCCTTACAATTCTCCGCAGATTTCAATTGAAACATCTTTAGGATTCTCATATAATCAGGATGTTCTCAGTATTCTTTGGAAGTTATTTTAGAATCACTTTGGAATTCATTTGAAGTTCTCCTCACAACTCCCTTGGAATTGTCCTTATGAATTATTCTCTGATTTCTCATCGAAACACCTACCAGTTTAATGCATGTCCAAGAGAATGAACATTTTTCCATTTTTACTTATAGGGTTAATGAACCAACTATGGCAAGTGCACCAGTTATGCCGTAATTATATATACACAGTGGATGTAGGGTGCTTCATTTTGAAAAAAAAAATCATTGCGATGATAGTTTTCTGTCGGTGTCGGTCTGTTTCGGTTGCATGTAACACTATTTGATATTACTAACGTTCGTATCGTCCCATATCTCTTCTAAACACCGACTACAAACTGTTCTCTCGTATCCTCAAAACCCGTCTGGAGAATGTGATGCGAGCCCACCGCATATTGTGCGACGGGCAGAAATGCTCAAACTCAGATCGAAACATCTTTCAAGCTACTCTCGCTCTGAAAGATCGAATTGCGAGCCTCCGTCATCATCGTCGCGCCGGGAAGCTGATCAGCTTCGACCTCGATCATGCTTTCGATCGGGTCCGGCACTTTTTCCTCTTCGGGACCATGCGATCGCTTGGTTTCAACCAGCATCTCATCACTCTGCTCTCCCAGATTGCATGTCGCTCCACCTCTCGCCTGCTCGTGAATGGGCACCTCTCACGGCCGATCGACATCCAACGCTCGGTGCGGCAGGGGGACCCGTTGTCCATGCACCTCTTCGTGCTGTACCTCCATCCACTAATATGCAGACTCGAACAAGCGTGCGGGAATGATCTGCTGGTTGCGTATGCCGACGATATCAGTGTAATCGTCACAACAGCAGCACAAATCGAAGCAATGAATATACTGTTCACCCGTTTCGAGATAGCTGCTGGCGCCAAGCTGAATGTGGGGAAAACTGTTGCCATTGATGTTGGTTTTTGCGAGGGAAACCGCATCAACATCCCATGGCTACGGACGGCCAACACAGTGAAGATCCTTGGCGTGATTTTCGTCAACTCGATCCGGCTGATGACGACCATAAACTGGGATGCGGTGGTTAGCAAATTTGCGCAACTGATATGGCTCCAATCAACGCGGATTTTGACTCTGCATCAGACAGTGGCTTTGCTGAATATGTTCGGCACCTCCAGGATCTGGTATCTTTCATCAATTCTACCACCATTCAGTGTACACATGGCGAAAATTACATCGAGGATGGGCACCTTCCTCTGGAGTGGGATGATCGCTCGCGTTCCGATGGCACAATTAGCGCGAAACCGCGAACATGGTGGACTAAAGCTGCAACTTCCGGCGTATAAGTGCAAGTCGCTCGCTATCAACTGGCACTTGAAAGAGATCGAATCCCTTCCCTACTATAAATCCCTTCTTCTGCAAAATCCCCGCCCAGCAATATCAATAGACCTCCCCGACCTGAAACTGATCCTCTCAAACTTATCCCAAATTCCCCCTCAGATTCGACAAAACCCCTCCGCCGATCAAATCCACCAGCATTTCGTGGCACAGACGAAGCAGCTCCGGGTCGAACGAAACTGTCCGACAAACGACTGGCCATGCACGTGGCGAAATATTGGACTCATTCATCGGAACAGAAAAGCAGGCTGTACGTTGAAGTTAACGAAAAAGTTGAGCACCGAAAACTTTGGTTTGTGATGCGGAGAGTTGACAGCGAGTATTGCTTACACTGCACCAACCAAGCAATAGAAACACTAGAACACAAATTCTGTACCTGCACTCGAGTTGTTCCAGCTTGGGAAATCCTGCAGCGGACAATAGCTACTGTTCTGAATGGGTGGAGACGGCTGTCGTTCGAGGAGCTAATCAGACCGGCTTTGAAGAGAATCAACAGAACAAACAAACTAACAATATTAAAATTGTACATTAGCTATATAAGTAGTTGTAATGGAGTGATAAACTTACAAGCA